AAATAAGATGCAAATAATTTATTGAAAAAGTTAGCTTTAATTATATTTTGAAAACAATTCTATCTTATCCTTACTAATTTAATACAAACTTTGTTTATATATTATATGTCGAATAAGGTTTAACAATTATTATAGGAAATTACAATATAAATTACAATAATTCTAATACAAACAATCAGTAAACAAAATTTTTAACAGAGTTTTTATAGCAATTCACAATAGTAATTACAGTGTTTCTAATACAATCTGATTTAGTAAGTTTTGTAACAATTTTTACAGTAATTTATGATAATTTTAATGCAAATTAACTCAATTTTACCACATGCTACAACTACTAGATAGTGGGTAAGTGCTATTTCAGTATATACAGTATACAGTAACTCACAACAGAGATCATGATATTTCTAATACAAATTTAACCAAATACTATGATAACTGCAATAGTAAGCTCCATAACAGAATTTTTTATAATAATTTATAGTATAAAATACAATAATTCTAATTGCAAACTAACTTGACTTTTAACTATATATTGAGAAGGAATAATAAATAAGTTTTGTAGCGAAATTTTTTACTCATGATAGAATTGACAATTTTAATACAAACTAACTTAATATTGATTATTATACAGTATAATGCATTAGTAAGTCATGTGGCAAATTTTTTTATAGTAAATTAGAAATTACCAGTACAATAATTCTAATATAAACTGATTTAACTTTAATTACATAATGCAGTCACTAACGGTAAATAAGTTCTGATCAAAGTAACTCATAATAAAAATCATAATAATTTCAATACAAACCAATTCAACTTAAGTATATAGAAATCTTAATTGTCTCAACACTAACTAACTCAAACACATACTGTAATCACAAATATAGTAATCAAGCTTGAAACCAATTTTTTTTTACAGTAAAATGATAGAAATCACAATAATTCTACTTCACATTAACTTTGCGTACTGCAAAAATCAGTATGTTCTGTAATAGAATTTCTTCCCATAACTTATATGATTAGAAGTACTAAATAAGTGCAATCATTACTCATCGCACTAGTTCTACCAGTCCTAAGATTTGTTAGGATTAGGGTTAGAAATTAGATAATTATTTTTTTTATAATCGATTTCTTAGAAATCTTTTATGATTATAATGTTATTTATAAAGCCCTTGAATTTGATGAATCTATAATGCAAAATGTTGTAGAAATTTATAGGTATAAATAATCACATGATTCAGCGAACATTTTAATTGTTTGGTTTTTAGCTCATATGAGCTAATTAGAAAATGTTATTTGAGCTGATCATAAATTAGATAGGCTCTAATCAGCTTACTATATATCAAATTTTATGCTTAATATACAGTATTATTTAGATTGCAATCAATATAATAATTATATATAACTTTACATATCATATAATGTATTAATATTATATATTAGTAAATGGTCTGCACTAAGATATAAAAATTTCTAAAATCATTCATTTGCTACTGTGATTATACAGATTGAGTGAAATTAATATCAGTATCAGATATTTCAAATATCCGAATATATTAATAATATTGTATATGAATATAAAATCTGAAATCTATTTAAAGTTTGGAACTGGTTTTATTTTTCCATACTTAAACCCAATTAAAACGGGTTTAACATAGAAATAAAACTAATTTCCATAAGTAAATTCTAAATACTGTATATATAAGCAAAATTTTAAATTCACTCAATTGATCAAGAATTTCAAACTAACAAAGTTAATTCTGGATCTATTTAGCAATTATTTAATTTTTCAGTTAGATTATTGCTGGCTACTGGAATAACAATTATTTCTCCAAAGCAATTTCTTTTTTTTTACTTTATATTGAATTTTTATATTTTACTTTGCAATTATACTTTATAAAAAAAAAAATTGGATCCAAATTATTTCAAGATAAAATAGTTCAAGTTTATAGATATATACTATTGTAAATACTTTTAATTTCATTTTTATTGGTTTCGTATACAGTATAAGCATAAAATCAATTGATATAAAATATCTGATACTGATATTTTACTAATAGCTAATTAAAAAAAACTTTTTTTATTATCTAGGTAATTGTTTAAAAACATATCAAATATAAAAAATTACAATAGCAAATTAAAGATTTATTAATTAATATATAATATGTAAAGTTACATGCTTCAAGAAAATCAAAATTACATTTTTATCACATGATCTAACGGACATCAATGTCCGTTAGATCATATAATTATTATACCTAGGTCTATAATTTTTTGTATTACAGATGCATCAAATTTAGGAGGTTGGTGAACAACTTGTTTATCTTTTAAAAGACTTTGAAGAAATTTATCGTACTCTCCATTAATTGTAGACATAAAATAATTTGCTGTAAGTCCAGATTTGACAAGAATCATAGCAGGGCATTGAGTTACATGAAGAAATTCAAGTAACCGCCATGTCCCTACCCAATAGCGTCTTTCATGTCTTTCAACGACTTCAAAAAGTTTCTGTACTTGACTACTAATAAGACCACGTAAAGTTTTATAGTGCGGAAATTCTCTATTAACTTTTTTGTATTCAGTCGCATAATTTACTATAAGTGATATAAAGGCACCCCATAAGTTGTATAACATATGTAATCTGGATTCCTCAATCATATGTTTTGCGGATCCAAGTTTATCGAATAAAAGTTTTCAACTTTCAAGATAGGCATCTACAGATTTAATATCTTCAATTGAATAAGTGGGTAATTCTTGAGATGGATCATAATTGACTTTATTGTTATTATCAAAAAATAGGTGATTGAAGTTCATTGTAAGAAAACTTTCAATAGGACTATTTAAAAAAAGTTGATTATCATATATAATCAACTCTTTTTTAATAGTATTCTTATAAGTTGTTTTAGACGCCGGGCCTTAGTAACCTTATTTTTTATAATACCATCCGTATCTAGATGATTATTTAATATTATTAAAATTTTTAATAAAATTGAATCAATATACAATAAAACTTACCATTTAATTCAATTGGACTATCTGATA